TGAGTAAAAATGCGGAAAAGAAAAGAGTTTGAGGAAGATTGGTGAAAGAATCAGTGTGAATTGAAGCTAATAAAAAAAGACAACATGTTCATTGGGAGGAGCCGTTGCTGCCTGAAAGTCACCGCTATTGGTTGCGGGCAGCCGGAGTTTCTGGATGCCACGCCAGAGGAGTACCAGTTCCGTCGGACGTTCTGTCCATTACCAGAGTTGCCGTTGTTCAATGCTCTATTTGCTTAGAGTAAAGATTAAGGGTTGTTTGTTTGGATTTTTGATTTCTCAATTCCAGAACATCCGATTATATATTTCTTATTAATTGTGTTAATTTTTTTTATTTGATTTGATATTATTAATTTGAGTTTATTTAATTATTGCTTCTGCTAATATTTTATATTTTGTTTACAATAATTGTTCAAATAAACTCATCGATCCGAGAATAAATTTACAATAGAGGGGATCAAAGAGATAGCGTAAAACATGTTTAACTCCATTACAATATTGTTTAGTTAGAGATGAACTAAATATGACTAATAAATTTATTGCAAATACAATATATGACCTTGTTCTATTTGCTAGGTACATTAGTGCACTTATTGGACTGAGATGTGGTACTTCAGAAGGACCAAGTATCTCTTCATCATTTTCTTTTGGTCCATATGGATCCTTGTTAGGATCAAGTGACCTAAAGATTATTGTGGTACTCAATAAATGTGTTTTATCCATAAAAAAATTGTTTTAATACCTTATGGGTATAAACTATTTGGTGGATAAATATTTCATTATTCACATTCAATTTGCATATCAAGACAGAGCATTGTCTTTCCAAAGTCTTTGATCTCAAATTCTCTTTTTAGATATTCTACGACTTATTGGAGCTCTTCAGGAGTCCCAATGATATTGAGATCATCAACATATACTACAATAATCACAAATTTTGACCAATTTTTCTTTATAAAAACACATGGACATATTGAGTCGTTAGTGTAACCTTCTTTGTTTAAACACTAGGTGAGGCGGTTATCACTACAACAAAATAGTATATTTGTAACGGAATTATGTTTCTAAAGTTCGCGTAGATAACGTAATTTCATGTCTAATTTCATATCTAATATCATTAGTAATGAAAAAAGTGAATTTAGAAACGAAGAAACCTCGTTACAAAATTGATATTTTATTGTAGTGTATACCACATGCGTCAGACTGTTTAAGTCCACATACAAAGACTTTTGTATTTTGATAAAATAATATTATTTGGAATTTGATTTGCATACTTCAGGCATGTCATATCCTGTAGAGATTTTCATATAAATATCATTCTTCAATGGGTCATAGAAATAAACAATGATTACGTCCATCAAACGTGTCAAGTTTTTCATGTACTGCCAAGCGTATGAGGTATCTGAATGTGATACCATCCATAACTGGAAGATGTGTTTCATTATAATCAATCTCAGGTCTTTGTGAGAATTCTTGAGTTACAAGTCTCGCTTTATATCGGACAATTTCATTGTTCTCATTTTTTTTTTCTCACAAATACCCATTTGCACCAAATTAACTTAACACTTTCTGGAGTTCGAATTATGGGTCTCAAGACATTTCTTTTGGCTAATGAGTCTAATTCAAATTGGATCGTATCGTTTTATTTTGGTTAATCGTTTCTTTTCCGATATTTATCAATTGATGTTGGTTCAAGATCCTCGTCATTTTCCATTATATCAAAATATTTTGTTATATTTTGGGCGATTTTTGGGTGTGAATATTGTAGAATGCTTCTAATGGTGTGTTTTTGGATTATTCACTAGATATTGTAGAGTTGGCAAGTTTTGGACATACTTGGGAGAAAATGAACATAATGTACGAAAGTTTTGGTCATGATCACGCCTAAGTGCAAACCAGAGTGGGAGAAATGGAAATTACAAAGAAATCCTTCCGGATGATTGGCAAATTTAGAAACTATGGGGATTTAATTGCACAGTGAATCTTGGATTAGAGAAATAAGAGAATTAGTGTGCAATTGAAGAGAGAAAAAAAAAAGAGAAAACGTACAACCACGTTCTCACACACGAAACTATTTCTTGAAGAAGAGAATGAAAAATGAAAGAACACGACAGAGCGGAGAATTTCGAGAAGCAGTGCAGATGACTTTCCGGGACATTCTTCTTTTATTTTAAGTATTGTTTTTCCTTGTCGATTTCTAAAAATTGAAGGCATGATGAACTCCTTGATTTATTTTGTTTTTTCAATTTCTATGGATTGCAAGTAATATCATTTATTGTGTATGTGTGAATTGATGTTTATGATTGAATTTGTGAGACTTGGTTTTGGTTGAATTTGGTGTTCATCGATGTTGGGTATTTTTAATTCTTCTAATTTACGAGTTTCGAAATCTTAAATTGATTGTTGCGCATGTATTGATTTGAGATTTCATACCTATATTGAAGATTGACACCCGTAATTATGTAATTTTCTAATTGGTGTAGCAACCTAGAGGAAGAATACTCTAGGGAAGAATTCAAATCAATTTTGAACAAATCCGCGTAGAAATTTTGTTAAATTGAATTGGGTCTTCCTAGTCCTTAATGATGTCGAGTCAGTAAAACTACGGTCATACCTAGAATTCTCACTCGATTAGGGATATAGATAAGTGTCGTACATTAGCTATCGACAAGGTAAGGAAAAGTTGATTTTGAATGCGTGTAAATCAACTATAACCAATTTATCCAACTAGTCCATGAACTTAATTTTTAATCGATGAACAAAGTTCATATTCCGAACAAAAAAATTTATGTCTATGGTAGAGTTTAACCATCTTTGGTAAATCAATCTTGCATTTTAGTTTACTTTATTTAATTAAGTGAATTTTATTTTTACCCAATTTAGTGTGATAATCAAATTTTCCCATTACATATGTATATAGTATAATTATAAATAACGTCAATATTACTACTGTTATATGCGGAAACAACCTTACTCACCAAAACTACTGCATTTTGCATTTTTCTTCAAATCAACTTTGAACTACATATAATTCATTATGATTTTTTTTTTTTTTTTTTTCCGTCTGTCAAAGTCATATCACCATCCTGTTTTTTTTTTGTCTTAAGCTAAATTTATACACAATTTATTTATAATAAATAACTTTATCCCCTACAAATGATCTGTTTTGTTGTAATTGAAAATTAATTTAAAATAGGATATTAGATTTGAATTTTTGTTTATAATATTTTTGATATGTTATTTTGTAAGACAAAACAGTATATTATTACCCCTTATCTACTATCCATATTAATTTTTTAATAAATTCCCTAAGAGTCTGTTTAGTTCAAACAAGGGGATGAGAGGAATTTTAGGGGAGGAGAAGGAAGGAAAAGAAATATTAAAATTGTAATAGTTTATTTGGTTGATATAGAAGAAAGAAAGGAAAGGGAATGGTTAAACGGAGAAGGAAAAGAAAATTAGAATAATTTTAATATGTTGCCCTATAATATATAAATTAATTTATAAATAATAGATAGTGTATCGTAGTTTGTTTTAAAATAAATACATATATACTTATATCATGTAAATAAAACATAACATAAATTTAAATAAAATAACATTTAAAACAATTGAATCATTTAATAACAAAATAATCATCATAACATTAAATTTATTTATTTACAATAAATTACAAGATAAATATAATATATAGTATTAAATAAATAGAATAGATATAAAGTTATTTTATTATTTAAAACCAGACTCTTACCTATTTAATTAGATGATTAGATTGAAATAATTTAATTTGATATATATAAAATTTTATTTTATAATTTTAAGTACATTATATAATTTAAAAATATCATAATAACTTTTTAATTATAAAATAAGATATAATGTAATTTATAATTTTTATATATAATTGAATGTAGATATATACTCTCTATTACTTAACATTAATATATTTGTATAATTTTTTTTTTTTTACGAATATTCTTTTAAAACACTAATGAAAATATTTTTATAATTTTTTTTAATTTATAATAAATTTTAATATAATAATATTATAAATCAACATTCAAAAAATAAATTAAACTCTTGTAAGAGGAAAGCAATATATAATATTAATATAATAATAATCTTATAAAAAAAAAAATAAACATCTTTCTCTCACATTCAATGCCCCCACATTAAAAGGAAAGCAGAATAAGCTCATTTTGCTTTTTTATCTCCCTGAAGTAATTTTAAATTTTGATTTTTTTTTCTTCCTTTTTCTTCCCTCTAACCATTCTCCTCAAACCAAACAGATTCTAACATACTCTACTGTTTACCTACCCTACTTTATTATTATTTCGTAATCTTCGTTTTCAACCAAATCTGAGTTGATTCGTGTCGGGTTAAATACTTTAAATGGGTTAAATTATTCAACCCTAACCCAGCCCGTTTATGATTGTATCGGGTTCGTGTAAACTCATTTATTATCGTGTCGAGTTCGGATTGACTCGTGTTGACCCGTATACATAATTAAGTTAAATTTCTTGATTTAAATTTAAAAAAAAAATTGCTATGTTGTTATATTATATTAATTTTTATTGGTTTGAGGGTAAATTAAATTGAATTATTTAAAATTGAACTTAATTTAAATTAATTTATTAGAAAATTATTAAATTATGATTATTTTACATATATAATAAATATATTAATCAAGATTAATATTTTATAATCGAGTTATCGTGTCAGATTTGGATTTGAGTTGAGAGCCTCAACTCTAACCCGACCCGTTTACTATCATGTCGAATTTGTGTCAACCCGTATACATAATTGAGTTGAAATTTTTGACCCAAACCCAATTATTTCGTGCCGGATCAGTTTTTGCCAGGTATGTAATGTTAATAATGGTGAGAAAACAAAAGACAGAGAATTAGTATGATTGAGAACAATTGAGTGAAAGTAATCAACTTACAGAATTACATGTCGAAGTCGTGGGTGGTCATCATCCCATACCTACTACAAATACAATTAACTGAGATTGTCAATTCAATAGCATTCCATAAAATGTTGAGCGTGCAACAAATTCCATCATACATTCAAATCACTCATTCTACACATAAAGACATCATCATCATACCTGTCTCTCCTCGCCTCGACTGCGAATCCCAACGGGTATAGAACCATTCGGCGATGCGCCAACATTTTCACTCTGCTGCTACCTAAATCAGATGCTGACTCTTTATTTCCGAAACCTCGAATGGTAAACATCCGGGCTGACATATTCCACTGTCACGACGCGACCATCAAATAGCCGTTCGTGCAGACAGTGTGCAGCCGTGCAAGCTGCTTCAGCTCTTCTGTACTCCACAAATACGCAGCCTGGCTCAAAAAGATTTCCAGGATCATTTGGAGCATCCATGTTAGTGTCTACCTCGGAAGAATCTATCTTTCTTCTCTCATTTGTGTCTTGTTCGACTGGGCCTCCATCTCTTGGGCTGTTTTCTTCTACTTTTGAATCTTCTTCACTCAAATTGTCATTTTTTTCCAACACACCAGACACGTCTGATGCGGATTTTCCAATTTCTTCTTCAATGGGATTCACGGCACTAATCTCATGAGGCAGACTGTCAACCACAGCCGACATACCAGCATCTTCTTGGCCAGTAGATGGATTCGATATCCCTGCATTGTCATCACAGTTGTAATTTTCTGCAGGCCCTCGTTGATTAAGTACAGGAACCTCATTGATGGTGTCTCTCGATTTTTCTATTTCAGAGCTCCTATTCTCAGGCATTAAGTCACACCCATCAGCCTTTTTGGTGCCAGGAGTGTTTGTTAGCTTTGCAACATTAATAGATTTCACCGTACCAAACCTAGGGCAATGCAGGAATTATAGAAATAGGTACCAGAAAGGAAATTGAAAATTCAGAAAATTCCAATATTGTCAAACCTGGAGCACTCTATTCTGATATCTTCCAATATTTCTTCCAGTTCTGAGTCAGACAACGCTAGAAGATCTCGATGATCCAACTGAAATCATGACCACATACTGTTAAGACATAACGACACTTCGGTAGGGGAGGAAAAGAAACTCAACAGCATAGTTAAGAAAAGATACCACATTTTTGAGTTGTAGAACAGCTGAGGGCTTCTCAAGGAGCGGCTTGGCATGCTCGGGAATCCCATAAAATGGCGATTTGGCTACATCTCCCTGAAGTGAACATTAAGTCAACACATCAATTATTATCTTCAGTTATCAAGAAAATAATAACAATGGAAAAGGGGATAATATAATACCCACCGTGGTGGCATCTGGAGTAGCAAATACTGCTGTAACAACCTTTCCACCTAACCTCATGCCATTGAGACCAGCACATGCCTTTGAGGTAACTGAATGGTCGACAAACTGAAGCAACAACAAATTAATCTGATTGCAAGAAAAGCAGAGCAATCTTTGGCAAGTTTTAGAAAATTGGAAAATAGAACCGGAGCCTGGTTAGTGTTATTTTGAGGGATCATGCAGTTATTCAGGTTAAAATATTCACGTCAAAATAATTACCTCAAGAAAAGCACACGGTTCATTCATGCCAGCAACATATTCATAGCGGTATGCCTTGACAGGTCCAAATGCTCTAGCAATCTCCAAAAGCTATAGGACACGTAGAATGGCAGCAAGTAAGATACATTTATGATAGGATAGAATTTATTTGGAAGTAATTATTAACCTACCATCTTGGAAGAGATGAATTTTGAGATTCCACCGATGAAGATCTAGAAGCTCAAGACAAGTCTCATCAGAAAGCAAAGAGGTAGAGAGATGGGCTACAACAAACTAAATACTAAAGCAAATAAATAAATAACCAATTTGCTGAATGAAACTTCGGCTATGTTTACATACACTTTTGGAAGTTTTGGCACTATTCAAGTCATCAACAATAACTTTTTCAAAAAACAAAATATCAAATACCTTCCTCTGACAAAACATCACATCAAATATCGAATTGAACTTTTACTATTACCAAAATTCTCCAAAACTCCAACACTTTCAAAACTCTTAACTAAACAAATGTTGATTTTTTATCAGTGGATCCGGATAATTATAAAGCTAAATGCTTTTCTAGGGTGGCAATACAGTGAGTCACTTTTATGCATACAGATTAATATGCACGCATATAGGCTTAGGAACACATGAAGTGAATTTGCATTTACCATAGAGTGATTATTGTAAATTACGTGCTCCATTTAATAAACAGGTTGCATGAACCATAGCCTATAAATTAGTTTGATAAAGAACATTTAGATAAGAATTCTAAGTCCATTTCAGTCACAAACTAGTAGTATATTACATGTAGTGTCATTTATGTTTAAACTTTGGCAGTTGGTCAAGCAATATGAGCAAGAGTTGCTGTATCCACTTGACCCGACTTGAACCAAATAGCATGATAATAGATGGATGAATAATTATAAATGGCATGAGAAAATAACTGGTTACGACAAGTTTGTGAACCCAAATGTTGGTATTTTACTCACCTACAATGAAAATTACTACATCAGCCACCAATTGGGAACACACCAAACATTACACATGCGATTGACTAGCCTTTCGATCAGAGTATATAATATAGTGATTGAAAGTCCAAGCTCAAGTGTGATTAATGGCAAATAACTCATAAGGTTAAGAAACTTAATATCAATATATAAAATCCAAACAATAAATGGATTATTATATCATCTCAAGCACAAAGTTAAGTTATGATATCAGATAGTTGCACACCTTGTGGGGAGAGTCTTCAATGTTGTCACTAACTGAATCAAAAGCAGCCATTGATTTGTCAGGAACACCAGTCTGCATGAAAATAGCAACTGTCTGAAAACCTGCTACATGAATAATAACCACTTTATACCTCAGAAACTGCAAATTATAAAGAGAATAATTGTAAAAATTGAAAATACTTCATTGAGCATAGTACCTTCCTAGAAAGCTCAACCATGATAATGCTTATGTCTCAACAAGGAAGCAGGAAAAATTTACAAGGTAGATGACTCAAGCAATTACTTATCACGTAACTTAAACTTTCCTAAAATATTTCAGCTACACCGATGAACTTGAGATCAGAAGATATTATAACAACAATATTTTCAAATACACAAACTAAAGTTGCATAGAAGTAGCCCACTTAAAAGTGGAGCATTAGACAATAGACAATGATAAATTTTGCTCAGGTTTGAATATTTCGTTACTGCATAAGAGGATGGAAGTTTAAAATTTAACAGGGTATTAAAATATGACAAAGGATAGTTGAATGGCTGAGGTTTAAATTTAAAGAGATCTTACATATGGACTCTGATTCGATTAACATTTTAGGTTAAAAACGATTATTTTTTATTTTTTTTTTTGTTTTCCTTTTTAACATATATTTTTTCACAAACAGTGTAAATACAAGTAATATTATATAATTATAAATCACTGATTATAAGAAGGGTAGAGATCACATAAAAAAATTTCCTGTAGGTAATGACTAGATTTTAAGATCTGCACATATATAGGACATTGCATATGTATACACACACACACACAAATGAAAAGCTATTATTCATAGTAATGTATATACATAAGCTTTAACTGACGTGTATAACCTTTTAAGGGGAAAAACTGAAATAGGGTTAAACTATGCAACACCCAAACATACAGTAATTTTAGAATTTAATCATGAACGTAATTAGTTTCTTAATAGTATACAAAAGTAACAAAACTACAAATGTGATTTGAAATGATTGTCAAACATTTGCATGTATTCAACAAAATCAACTTCTATATCACACTAGTACGAACACATCATATTCAAGATCAAAAAAATGAAAATTTCACATTTATATATTAAGTTTATGCAACTGTGTATCAACTTCATCCACAGTAATTCAATATATTAAATCATCATTGCATTTAATATAAAAAAGCATGGTAATATTTCTTACAGAAATAGTATAGTAGTCCTTGGGGCGCCTGAACTTCAGATTAGACCCCGAAAAGGAAATTCCATCGAAAGAAAGTGCCATAGAAGCATCCTCGGGAGTTAAAAATTCCAAAAGAGCTTGTCCTTTCTCTTTGTGTATCTAAAGTTCAAACAAAGACAGGAAAAGACTGAAATCTTTGCAAAGATAATACTAAGTATAATAATTGAAATAAAACAAGTGAAAGGCAGGGACGTACTATACAGCTAATGCAGGGTTGAGTTCCCTGAATGTAGTTGACTCCGGAAGAAAGTAAAAATTTATTAATGCATTCTATTAAATCTTTCTCAGAGGCTGAAGCAGGCAAGTTTTCTACATAGAGACGTCTCATAGGCCGTGTAGCTTGTGTTAGCTGAATAGATTCAATGGCATGCATCTGTGAAGATAAGGTATGAGGAGAAATCCCAATGGGCTTCATCACAATAGGTACTAATGGAGTACCACTAGGAGAATCCTGTATGCTCATGGACAGGCTTAGGCTTTGGCCTTGGCTCTGGCTCATATGAACATCAGCAAAAGTTGAACCAGAAATCACACCCTCTTTTTCAACAGGTTGTAAGTCCCATCCAGCAGATCTCCTTGCTGGAGAACGACGAGTGGGTGAAGGAGTTTTTGCAGCAGCATCAGTTTTCCTCTTTCTCGGTGAATAACCCCCAAGACCACTTGAAGAGGCATTATTTCGTCTATATTGATTGCTAGATCCATTATTTGATATCCTCTTGTCAGCATCAGAATTTTCTTTCCCTGATCTGTCTTGGGTAGAATTTGGTGGAAGTTCTTCATGCTCCCTTTTATCTTTACGTTTGTGCTTGTGTGCTTTTGGAGATTGTGACTCTTTAATGTGCTCTATGCTTGGTGATCGTCTTCTCTTTGACTTGGATTCTCCATGATAAGCACGTGTGGGCTTCTTTTCTTTTTTCTCAGAACCATGTTTTTCACCAGCACTCCTGCCTTGAGTTTTGTCATCGTCATCATGATGCCGGTGTCTAACTTCTTTTCCAGATCTGTCTTTGCCTCGATTAGATAGTTTGTCTAAAAGCATCATATCTCTTTCATTTCTTTTTTTGAAGCCAGAATCACTGATTGTATGACCATCAGTTTTCCTCTTTCTAGAGACCCACATGTCGTCAGTATAAAGTTGTTTTCTATCCATTTCAGATTTTCCTCTGATTGTTTCAGAACCTTTTTCTTTCTTAACTGAGCTTCTATATTGTCTCCTTTCAGATCCATTATGATCCCCTAAAAAGCCATCCTTTTCCCCAGCACGTTTTTCTCTGTTGTATGAATAACGTCTCTCCTTTCTCACTTCGGCTACTCTATCATTGCTTATGTTCTTATCCACCACACTCTTCAGTTTCGGATAATGCTCCTGGGATCCTTTGTCATTATCTGGGTCTAATTTGTTGTTCCCTTTGGAAGTATTTGTATCTCCCTTCCTCAGAGAAGTGGCCTTTTGAAAGTCTTCGTATGTATTCTTAGTGTCCTTAATATCAAAATCTTCATTTGTTTTCTTATGGGATTCAGGAGGAACAATCTTCCCCTCATGTACTAATGTAATATCCGTAGATACAGGGCCGCTGATAACTTGTTTTGTGGCATCAGCCTTGTTTTTTCTTGCAAGCATTATCTCATCAAAACTGAAAGGCCTTGTTCGAGCTGACGTTCCCTCCATGTCATCATCACATGTCATTTCTGTATTTCTTTCATGCTTCCCTTTCCGTGGATTGGATCTGGTCATGATCCCACACTTAAGCTTCCAAGTTCCTAGGCTTCCAAATGGAGCTGCAAAGTATTTATAGTAAGAAAGTCTGCTGAGAACAGAGAACAGACACTTGTATAGCTAGTGTAAGAAAAAAGAGCTACCACATGAACAAAACACTACCCCCACCAGTCAGCAGATTTTAGTGAGCTGGCCCACGGTGAGGCATGACTCAAATTTATTCTGTCCAACCCAACCCATCAATGGGAAACAAGCAAACCCAATGGATTTTTAGCAATATTTAAAATACATATTAAAATTATGACACTGTTTACTTTAGCTTTGTATTTGCATTTTGTGTTTAAACATTGGTTGGATGTGATTTATGTGAGAGAAAATAATTATTTTTAGAGAATCGTAAAAATTGTCTAGCAAAAACACAAAAAAATGGACTCAAAATTACAAGTTTTAACAAGCAATATCCACAAAATGTAAAATAATAATAATAATAAATAAAATATATATGATTACATAATAAAATTCAAGCAATACATATTTCAAAAGAAACAAATGTACATATCAATTCATCAACAAAGACATCAAGATTTTTCAAAGCCTCCTATCCCCAACACCTAAATGCACAAACACATATTTTCAAATTAAAGTTGATAAATTACATCAACATCAAAATACCCTTCCTTTCCTTCTTGTTCCTCTTCACTAATATGCAAAACATGAGATCCTCCACCCTATAAGGTTATCTTAGTCTTTGTGCAATCACCATCATCTTAGAATAAAAAACAACTGTTGAATGAGAATAAAAATAAAAACATCACATAAGAATTTTATTTTAACTTCCAAACAACATAGAGCCGTCTAACTTTCATCCCTTTTGATCTTCCATGCTATATTAATATTTTGATTCAAATCAGTGGATATGCAATAATGTTTGTTTGTTTGTTTTTCTTTTTTCAATATGCAAATAATTCGAAGCCAATGTCAGAGAGGTAGCTTCAATTACACAAAAATATATAGCTTAGAACTAACCCTGCAAACCTAAACAAATTCCAACAAAACAAACAGAAGATTCCCAACAAAAAACACAAAAAGTGAACTACCAATCCATAAAAGAATGCACACAGCCAAAAAAAATTAAACAAATAGACTTCACTTCTTCCAATCAATATAAAATCAACATAACTCCGCAACTAACATCAAACAATTCAAATCCTAAATCCCATAGAAGCCGGCATTGAAAATTTGATAACAACAAACGATTCAAAACTAGTATAGGAATTTAACTTACAAAGCCTCAGACGAAATTGCAGAAGCAGAAAACGATAATACAACAACGACAACGAAGCCGCAGTCTTGAAGGACGACGCCGAAGACCACGAAAAGAAAAGTATGACGAAAGTGGAGAAGAAGAAAATGATGGGTGTAGGAAGTAAATTCGAAGTTGGAAGTTACAGAGAGGAGAAAGAAGTCGACGGGAGGGAAGACGAAGAAGAAAGCTGCGACTGAAATGTAGGGTTAGGAATCATCAATTTACAATGGTAGCTCCACCCTCGGGCTGACCCGACCCGTCTGGATGACCCATCGTATATATTGGCCGGGCCAAATTTTCTATTATGTGTGTTTGTCTGAGGGTTTGGATTTTGGGTTGAGATTTGAATAGTAAAAATTTTGAATTTGAATAGTTGTATGATGTGATATAAATAAGAATTGATGTGATGTTTTGAATGTAAAATTAATTTTTAGTATAATATAAAAAATGAAAAATAAATGTTTGATTTGATATTTTTGGAGGAAAAATTTTGTGGGAACAGTAGAAATCCCACAAAATCCCCCAAACAAACACAACCTAAGGATACCGCTAAAATCATTTTAACCGGTTTTTAACGAGAATTGTTTCAGAAATATTAGAATTAAAATATATTTTTTTATTTCGTTTTAGTTTAAATTTAATATGAATTAGATATGTTTATAAAAGAAATTTGAATGTTGGAACCAACGAAGGTACGTGCACTTTATATTTTTTTTTTTTAGGTATATATTTTTTATCTTAAGTATAAAAATAATTACTACAAGAAATAATATTTTATATTAAATATAAATTTTTGTGAGCATATAAAATTTATATATTATATATTTTATAAGTGTGTAAATAATATTTTTTTAATAATATTTATTCCAAATTGTGTCAATAAAAAAAAATATATCCAATAAAAAAATTGAGATAGACAGTATTATGTAAGATAATTTAAAAATTACTTGATGTGATGCAGAGAGAAGTGCATATTTTATTTTTTTTATTGGGTGATGTAATAAGGTAAAATGTGAGGCGGAGATGAAATATAATTAATTATTTTTTATTTTGGAAATGTTGCAGAGCATTTTTTATATACAAAAATGAAATATTTAGGGTGTTTGGAACGGACGGAATTATTCACTCATAAAAAGTACAAAATATTATTTTTTATAGAGTAAACTGTTTTTTTAGTCCCTGGACTCCCTTATCATTTTAGTCTCGTAAGTGAAGTCTGTCGCAAACTAGTCCCATAAGTGAAAAAATTTCGCTGTTTTAGTCCTCCGGCGCCGGAGACGCCCGCGTGGCTCGCCGGAGGTGACGTGTCCGCCAGGTCATCGCTGACTTGGCGGACACGTGCAATGACCTGGCGGACACGTGGATATTTTTTTTAATTTTTTAAAAACTTCTTTTTAATTTATTTTTAATTTTATTTGTATTTTTTTATTTTTTTTATTTGGTACAATTAAAAAAAAAAATAAAATAAAATCCACGTGTCCGCCAGGTGTCGCTGATCTGGCGGGACACCTGGCGGACACGTCACCTCCGGCGAGCCACGCGGATGTCTCCGGCGCCGGATGACTAAAACAGGGAAAATTTTTCACTTATGGGACTAGTTTGCGACAGGCTCCACTTACTGGACTAAAATGATAAAAGGGTTCAGTTACGGAACTAAAAAAACAGTTTACCCTTTTTTTTATATTACCAACACAGTTTTTTAAACCACACACAAAAAAAATTCATCTAAAAAATGTTGAGTAAACGGAATGAATGCGTGAATAAATCCAAAATGAGAGAAAAATATAATATAGTATATTATAAAAATATATATATTTAAATCAAATTCAAAAAATTACTTCTTCTTCCATCCAAATTTATTTTATTTTATTTTATTTGTTGTTATATAAATTTATTTTACGTTTTAGTAAAAAATAATATTTCATCTGTCTCATAAGAAGGATACTATTTTTATTTTTGTCGGTCTCAAAAAAAATGTATCATTTTCTAATTTAGTAATTGTACTACCTACCTAACATAATAAATAATCTTACAATTTATAATATATTATACAAATATCATTGTACAAACTAATATTCAAAAATTTACGTGCAAAAAATAAAAGGTGATTTTCTTGCCGGATGAAGGGAGTATCATTTTTTCACTTTTCTTTAATATAATTTTTTTTTCTATTTTAAAATATTTTTCTTAAAACTCGTACACTATCAAATAAGAATAAAATGTTTCTATATATATACATGTAGTGATTAAATAAGAATAAAATGATTATACATAGTGATTATATATATATATATATATCATGTAGTGCACACTTCCGTAGTATGTAGACGTTTCTATATCATGTGTTCGACAAAAGTGTGCCTATAAATACATATATGAATTGATGAAATAAAATAATACACAACACTAGCAATTAATTTTCATGCTTTCTCTCTACCAGGTTCTCTCTCCCTCGATATTTATTTCTTTACATAATATTATACTCCCTCCATCCAATTTTTATTGTCCTAAAGTATATTTGTAAGATTTTTTAGGTTTTTTAGGTTATTGTCTTTTTGTCATAAATTGACAAATTTGTCCTTAATTATATGGTAGATATTAAAAAATAATAAATGAATGGATAGTAAAAATATAAAATTTGTATTTAAAAAAAAAAATAGGACAATAATTGTTGGACTAAGACAATAGTTTATGAACGGAGAGAGTATATATTTTTATATTATATATTACATATATATATAATATATAAATATTATTTTTTATTATATACGTCGTTTAAGCATATATATCTTATATTTATATATTATATTATATATATGTATACATTATATAAAATAGTAGTTAGCAGTAGAGATAATTAATATTTATATTGTCTAATTTTATAGTAATATTATAAGTGCTGATTATATATTTTAATTTATGCAAGATAATATGGACATATATTTTTGACAAGGCACTTTAATTCATGTACTCTCATAATTTTGGAGTTTTCTTTTTATTTATTAAATAATAAGTTTGGATAATTAGTTAAAATTTATTAAGGTGACAATTAATTTAACAAAATTCAAATTTATCAATATAATAAATAACAAAAATATGGATAAAATTAGAGTTTCGTGTATATATATATATATATTGAGAGATTAAGCAAAATTGCCACAACAAAAATTATTATGAAATTTTTGTCCAACACTGCAAAAAACGGCGATTACTGTTTCGTTAACCGTCAGATCAATATGAAATTTTAAAAAAGTATTTGCAATTCGTTCGTTGCGTTTTTAATCAAACGGTTTTGAGATTTTTTATTGGATGTATGTAGTTCAATCCAAAAATTACATAACATGACAAATTTTTAGGTTTTTATTTTTTAATCTTAATTTTTCTTAAATTTGTAGTTTTCGTTGGTTGATTAAATGGTGATTAAGTGAATTTATATGTATTTTTTAAACTCTTATATTTAATTTGATTATAGTTAATTTTCTACTTTGGTAAGGACAACGTGTGATTTTTTTTTTTTATCTTGGTTTTCACATGAAAAATTATTTTATTTTATTTATGTTTTATTTATGCATATAATTTGGTATCATTCAAACAAAACAAAATTTTTTTCACATGAAAAAAATATCATTATATCTTTTATATATTATTTATGCATATAATTTTTAATCTTTTCTTATATAGTGAAATTTTTATAGTAATTTTATTTTTTGTTTAACTTATAAATTTTAAGTTTTATTATACGGTAATTTTTACTAATCATTTTTTTTTTAGAGAAGTAGGAAGAAGAAGGAAAAAAAACGATAATCAAGTATAGTATTTTATTGTTTGTTTGTTTGTTATAGTATTTTATTTTATTATGTATAATAATATTATTAAATTAATTTTAGTGTTCTACTAATCGTTCTTTTTCATTATTATTATGTACGTATGTTACTAATTTATTTATTTTCAGGTATAATATTTTAATACTTTTTATTATTATTGTATATGAATTTTTTAAAATTATTTATTGTGTTATTAAGTATTTATTTTTTCTAATTGATTTGATTTTGATTAATTTATTTTTTAATATGGTAGATTATATTTAAATTTGTATTCTTTAGATTTGAAAGAATATTTGAAGAAATCATAGAGAAAATTATAGTAAATTTTAGTATATATATAGTTTATTTTTATTTTATTAATTTCATTCTTATTATGTATGTATTTTTTATAATTTATTTGGTATTGAATATTATATTAAAATATTTATCCCCTAATTTTATTTAAAAGAATATTAAAGAAATGGATACAGAAAATTAGGATAAATCTTTAGTAATTAAAAAAAATTCTATTTTTATTTTAATACTTTCATTCTTATTATTTAGTATGCATTTGTTATTTTTTATTATTTTTTTATTTTTTACTAATAAATTATTATTCTATATGTATTTTTTCTAATTAATTTAGTCTAAGAAATTACTATTCTAATACATTTTGTTTTTTTTAAAAAAAAAAATTGATACTATATTCAAATTTAGAGTAATTTGTTTTTAAACTAATATGAATTGTTAATAAATGTTTTTAATTTCATTACTTAATATTATGCAATATTTGGTTTTACTTTTGTTAGTATATGTATTTTTTTATTTGCATATTTTTTAAACTTTCTTTTCAAATTGGCGATAAAAAATGCGATAAAAAGATCAAGATTTTTTTCATTGATATATATAAATTTATTTCAAAATTTATTGTAATGTTTTATTTAATAAGATTGTAAATAAATATTTTAAATCTAATTTAGATTTGAATTTAAAATGCTATATAAATTTTAGTTGATTTATGATTCACTTATTATTTACTTTTTTTTCGTTACTATATATATTATTTAATATATTGTTTGAATATTGTTTTCAACTGCTGCATGCTAACAACAATATAAATGACTACAAATATTAATAATTAGTTTTATTCCTCATTGATAGGTAAAAACTCCTTTTAAATTTATTTTAATTTTTAATTTAAGAGGGATTCACTGCAAAGAAAAAATTATTTTTGTAACAAAATATTTTTGTCTCTAAATTTACTTTTTTTCGTTATTAATGACATTAGAGACGGAATTATGAATGGAATTACGTTAGTTACGTGAACTTTAGGGACGAAATTCAGTTACAAATATATTTTTTTTTTTTGTAGTGATTATGAATGATTATTTTTCATTTCTATTACGTTTGAGTTTAAATTGAATATATATTTATGAAACTTTGATTTGCTTACTTAATATTCTTTATTTGGTTTAGGTACTGTATTTTTATTTATAATTTATTTTTTATATAAGTTAATTTAGGCTATCTTCGTGAAAAGTTTTATTGTCAAAATAAAATTTATTATTTAAAATATAAAATTACATTAAATGTCACAATTTCTATAATTACCCGTGCTATCCACTAGTAATAGGCTAATATTTTATCTCTTTATTATGATTAACCTTGCCAAACAAAAATTTCTCTCTCTTCGTTTCTTGCCAAAACTATATGGTCTGAGCTCGCGATATTAAAATGCATATAACATCAATTGGCTTGGAAAATACCATTGTCCGAGATAAAAAATTCCGTTGTGCAAAGACCATGATCTTTTTGTGCCATCACATCGACGAGGCACTGAAAATACAGTATGTGACGTTGGAATCCCCACTTGAATTGTATGAAAGATTGAAAGAAATATATAATCACTTGATGCTGACTTTGTTGGCAATGGCACGAAACGAATGACATTGTGGCAAAGCCTACGGCTTTAGGACTTTAAAACTGTTGTAAATTTATTCCCGAATCCTGGATTTCCGTCAGTAGCTGCCGGAGGATCGCTGCTCGTGGCTGATTTCGTAGTCGCTGTGGCAATGGAGAAACAAAGACTCGAACGAACCGGAAGAAGCCCAAACAGGGAGTTGCAAATTGGTTTCTGCAATTGAATTTTAGGGCTGTTTGTTTGTGTTTGATTTCTAATTTCCAGATTTATGTTAGCCTTAATATTAGTTTAATTTTGATTTCGGTTTAGTTTAATTTGGGTTTATTCGAATTTCGCTTCCACTATTAATTGATTTGTATTTTTGTATACGAGGTTTGTTCGATAAATCCAAAAGATCCGAGAATAAATTCACAACAAAAACAATCCAAAAAAAATTATTCTGTCATGTTTAGAATAACATCATATCTGGGTCACTGTGGCAAAAATATATCTGAATCTGATACGATGAAGAAAACTTTCTTCACTTTTCATGTCTATAACGTGGTTTTGCAACAGCAGTAACGCGAAAGAGACTTTCAGAAATATTACGAGTTGATCACTTGTCTTTTGCTGGCCAAACAAAATAACAAGTTGTTGTTGAAAAATCACGAATCTTGACCGACAGATACAAATCCATTTTCAGAGGCAAACGCAATACATCCGGCAAATCCGTGTGTGGCCGTCGGTAGGACAAAAATCAACGAATTGATTGCTATCGAAGTCAAAATCGCGGACGGGGTCGGACAAACACATACAGTTGCAATAATTATCAAAATAGACCCCGATATGTGCCAAATCGGTGCTATAATGGTAGAAGGACGTACATATCTCAATAGAGGTTCAACACCGGGAGAAACAAAAACAATGATGATGAATGCACCTGATGTAGAATCAAAGGTCATTGGGGCATAACCATTCAATTGACGTAACTGTATCGGGTCTCGAAAGAAAGACAGAACTGCCCCCGAAACAAATCACATTGCCCACGATGATACACACTTAGATGCTGATGTACTTGACATAGCTGATGATGTTAAATAATAAAATATCGTTGTATCTATTTTGTTTTGTTTTGTTTTTTTTGTCTTTTTTTTTGTATTATTCCTATAATATAAGTTTATTTTTTTTAAAAAAAAAAATCAAAACCCATATATTAATTTTAATTGAGTAAAATTTTAAATAATTCAATTTAATTCACTGTAGATATCACGAAAAAACAAACATGGTATTAAACAATTAAGTTTTGAGTCATATTCAATTAATTATTTATACAAGTTAGTTAGCACAAATTCGACATAATAATTAAGAAATTGAACTAAAATTAGGTGATTCATTCATTTAAAAATTAAACCTATGCCAAACCCTACACAAATCGATATCTAAACGGAATTAAAAGTCCTATAAACACACTCATTATTATTTCTATCTTATCTAAGACAAAAATATGACTTAGAAACAACACAGAAATCTGAGTTTGTGAAGGTCCCTAGACCTCCAAGTCCCCTACACCCTTCATCTAACGGGTCCCACACACGACCACTGTCCAATCTGTTTCAGGACCTGAGATCCCGGGACCTTCCAATAAATTTCTACATTAACCGCCTGCGAGTATAAAACCACCGCTGCTTCTTCACGAACGAGCATTCGCTTCAAAACCTTGATTGTATTTCGGAAGCTCAATTTTCCGGCGGCCGTAAATGGAAGGCGAAGAAAACGGTGACTACACAAAAGACGGAACCGTCGACCTCAGAGGATATCCTGTCCGTCGATCCAAGCGCGGCGGTTGGACCGCCTGCTCCTTCGTCGTCGGTACTAATTCTTCATCCTATCTTCAACACCGCATATACATACAAATTCTATATATATATATCTATATATATAGATAGTTTAAGTAGAGTAGATCTGATAGTTAATTCGTTCGATCTTACTACTATTTCTAATTTAAATTACCAATTTACCATAGATATCTGTATTTGGGGAAATATTCTGGTGAAATTAGGTCTCTGTGAATCTGCGATGAATTAATTATATATAACTTAGAAATGAAATTGACAGAAACTACGTTTACCTGATATGAAATTGAGATGAAGAAGTTGTGAGCCGTCTCTGAAATTGTGATTAATTGATTAGTGTATGAGGTATTGGAACGAATGACGTACTGCGGGATTTCATCCAACTTGGTACTGTACCTGACGAGGAAGCTGCATCAAGGAACGGTAACGGCGTCAAATAACGTCACGTATTGGAACGGCGCCGTCTGGATGACGCCGGTAATCGGCGCCTACATTGCCGACGCACATCTCACCCGTTATTGGACTTTTCTCATAGCTTCCTTCATTTATCTCGTGGTAATCTTGCTTTCCCTTTCCTTCTCCACCCTCGTAATTTATACTTCCTCTCCCTCTGTCCTTTTAATTCCAAATCAAAATATTCATTTATTTTATTCTAATCATAATAATTTTTTATTATTAAAATTATATTTAAACTTATTACAAATATATCATTACGATCAATTTTATGAATAAAAAAATAAATATAGTTGATGAAATAAAAAAATTGATTATTTATTTCTTTTAATAAAATATCTATTTAAAAAATTTTTATTTCTGGAAGTCATGCAGAAGAAGAGAACTCAACCCCTTTAATGGCGGGCGGTGTTGGACTCCGGGGAACTCCAAACAATTCTCCCATGCCATTTTCTCTTACTTTTTCTTATAATTTTCAGGGCATGTGCCTATTGACGGCATCGGTGTCGGTTCCGGGATTAAGGCCTCCGCCATGCACCGGCCCAAACCCTACCAGTTGCCGGACACCCACCACATCGGAGCTCGCAGTATTTTTCACCGCGCTTTACACATTAGCCATCGGCACCGGCGGCACGAAGCCGAACATCTCCACCATCGGCGCCGATCAATTCGACGATTTCAGCCCTAAGGAGAAGGCGCAGAAGATTTCATTCTTCAATTGGTGGATGTTCAGCATTTTCTCCGGCGTTCTCTTCGGCAACACCGTCATCGTCTACCTACAGGACAACGTCGGCTGGCCTCTGGGGTACGGAATTCCTACCGCCGGCCTTGCTTTGGCGATTATTGTTTTCGTAATAGGAACTCCCTTCTATAGGCATAAAAAGCCCCATGGAAGCCCCTTCACGAGAATGGCTAGGGTCATTGTCGCGGCATCGAGGAAATCTAGAGTTCCAATTCCTGAAAACACTGGAGAATTGTATGAACTCGAAGATGTGTGTAACACGAAAGGGAAATTCAAGCTCGAATCCACCCCTGCCTTGAGGTACACAATTGCCTAGATCTTTTGGTATTGTAGTTCCTTGATTATGAAGCAACATTGTTTGTGAGTATGCATTTCTTTGTTACTGTGAATGGATAGTGATTTAAAGTAATTTCAATGGCTGAATGCTCGAATTGTTGTTAATTATGTTATGAACATAGCTTAAGCTTTTGATGTAGGTTTTTGAACAAAGCTTGTGTGAAAACAAATTCAAAGAGTCCATGGATGCTCTGCTCAGTAACAGAAGTTGAGGAAACCAAACAGATTTTGAAAATGCTACCAATCTTGATCTCTACATTCATTCCAAGCGTGATGATTGCTCAAACCAACACTCTTTTCATCAAACAAGGGGTGACACTCGACGGAAGGATGAGTAGTCATTTCAAGTTGCCTCCTGCAAGTCTAAGCACATTTGTTACACTAACCTTGCTCACTTGCTTACTAGTATACGATCGTGTATTTGTCAAGATTGCTAGAAAATGGACCAAAAATCCAAGAGGGATTACTCTGCTCCAGAGATTGGGGATCGGGTTTTCGCTTCATATTATCATCATGGCTGTAGCATCTGTTACCGAAAGGTATAGGCTGAACATGGCCAAGAAATACGGCTTAGTCGAGAGTGGTGGGCAAGTTCCATTGACAATATTTATCTTGCTTCCGCAATTCATACTAATGGGAGTGGCAGATGCTTGTTCAGAAGTTGCGAAGCTTGAGTTCTTCTATGATCAAGCTCCCGAGAGCATGAAAAGTCTCGGGACTTCATTCTACTCAACTAGCATGGGAATTGGAAGCATACTCAGTAGTTTCATTCTTTCCGGCGTTGCTCGTGTCACCAGATCCAATAGTCATAAGGGATGGATTTTGAACAACCTCAACGCCTCCCGTCTTGATTTGTACTTTGCATTTTTGGCAGTCTTGAGCTTCTTGAACTTCATAGCTTTTCTAGTTATAGCCAGATGGTATAGGTATAAGGTTGAAGTCTCGGACTCGATGGAAGCGCTTAAAGAAAAATTGGAGATCTAGAAGTTGAGGAACCAAGTTGAATTATCAGCTCATGGATATCGATTCGGTATGATATTTTTAAATTCAGGCATAGGGTGATATCTTTGTCTTTTAAATTGCTCCATTTTTAGCTGACATCAGTTCTTTTCTATGAGATTTAAATCTTGAATGTTTGAATGAATTAAGAAAACCTTATAGATTGATATTTTTATGGATTGTTATTAGATCATTCTATTTGCATTAGTTTATTTATGGAGCCAACAGAACAAAGGTAAAACCAAATATCATAGCAAAAGAATGATTCGAAATTTAGTAACTTACATATATAGGAGATTGTTTGCTCGATACGTAGTCCTACCTTCAGAGAGAACTCTTCAATGCACAAATAGGTAGAACATGTTACAATCCTAGCTGTTACAGAAAGCAAAAATGCACAAAACTATCTCATTTTGGTAAGTTACTTACAACATTAGAGAGAAGTTTCGTCCTACATTTCTGTCTTAAGATTGTATCTCTAGTAACTGTAGAATGTGTAACAAAAAAAGTTTGCTACGATCGTACAGTGTTTGGAACGTAATAATAATCATCTTCATCAGTTAGAAGGATCAAGCGCACACTTTTCCTTTATACATTTTTGTTATTGTAACATTTGTCTGTTAACTGCTAAGATTAGTTTTCGATTTTCAGTTCATCCGGATACGCTTCTCTTTGCCAATTTGAATGTTCTCTTGAGGAAGTGATTCGCGGTTCGATCATTTCTGTGGCAGAGTACTCTCAATATGGTATTAGGATCCAAACTGTGCCATTTCCCTGTTGTTGGAGGCATTGGCAGCTTCCGCCTGGTGCCCAAAATGCCGATCCCACTGGATTCGCAAGCAAGAACGCTGAATTCTTCCACCAGTTGTTCAGTTGACTTCCCCATCAACGTTACTACGCCTTCCACTGTCTCAGCTTCCATTGCAACCTCGTCGTTCCCTATCAAGCCTTCTCCACACATAAAAAAGAATTGCTTGAGGCTATCAAAGTCCTCCTCGATTATCGGATGATCCTTTCTGGAAAAGACCCTTGAGCTGCCTCCAGCTAGCAAGACCATAAGGTACGCCTCGAAACAAGCCTTCATTACTTCTTTTAGAGCCATTGATCGTGTCTTGTCTATAATGATTGCACACACCATAGCTAGGTTCTGCCTCAGTATTCCTAGTGCTGGTTTGATACGCATTGTTGCTACATCTCCGGCATACAGGCTTCTATAGAAAACAGCGTTTGTATCCAAGAATATGAGACGGTAAGCAGCCACTTCTGCCACGCGCTGAGAGACTGCTTGTATGAGTGATCGGCTGTGCTCAAAGTAGGAACACCCTAACTGCCTTCTGTTCCCGAATCGGCTCTTTGGTGGAGTTATCTTTGGAGAGAGAGATAGAGTCTTGTCGAGGGACTGAAGCTGCACAAGAAGGTAATGCAAGGTGTTGAGGCGAATATAAAGGCGTTGTGTTCCACGACTCACTGAGAGCCGTGCTTCCTTCCCTTCGTAATACTTTGTATTTCCATTTTGATGTTCTAGCTTGATCGCGCTTGCTGTTTTTTTCCACAGTTTCTGCAGTGTTGAGTCGCAACTGCATCTAGTCAGCGGGGGAAGTGTCGGGAGATAACCCTGCTTCGATCCTGAAAATTCGAATGGAATACCATCAGCCATGGCGAAAAGCTTCTCAGCATGTATGAACTAATGGTCGAGTTCTTACCACACGATGCCACGAATGAGATGTAGTCTCCGAAGAGAAGCTCCAAACCGTCGGTTAGATCAGAAACTAAGTTCTCTGATACGTTCACCGGAACTTCTAAGAAGCTCTCCACAGTCTCCTTTGCAAATCCGATTAGCTCTGCACCTGATTGTGCAAACGGCTCCGTCTTCGACTTAGGCATCCATATCTGAAAAAGATCATCTCGAGAAACATCGTAAGTCACTAACGAAGAACATTTCCAAAACCAGAGGTAAAAATTTGATGCTATCTGTCACGCTTACTTCTGTATCTTTTGCTCTCTCCAGGCTCTCCTTCCCCCGTTGAAGCTTTTCCTGCATCCAATTTCTCAACAGCTTTAGTATAGTCATGTCCGCCTCGTAAGAAACCATCCGTCTGACGATCGCTTTCCCTTTGTCTGTATTTTCAGCACCATCCATGGCCATTTGTATCAGCGCCTTCTCGAGCTTCCCAGCTCTCTGCAGCGCCAAGATAGTCTCATTCATATAGGGCGACATCTTGGACAGGTGTTGCTTGAGCATCGTCCCGTAGCAAGCGTGTAATGTCACAGCCGAAGCTCCATGGGGGTTCGGGTGCCATTTCTTGAGTACAGGGCTGTATATGTCTTTCTCCTTCGAGGCAAACTCTTCAATCTCTCTAGCCACCCGAATCAGCAAGTCGCGCAAATCTTCCGGCTTGGTCACGCGCACATCGTTGTCTTTTGTGATCTGTACATACAAATTAGTGTCTTATGTCGACTCATACGTTTCCTGCTTCGTATATTTTGCAGGTATGGATCGAAGAACTGACTACAATGGAGTGCTGTCTAGACATACCTTGACAAATGCTTTTGCGGAAGATGATCGGATGTAGTAATCAACGATATTACCCATCACCTGGTCAGTCACTTCTCCCGGAGGAACATAGTCTTCTAATATCTTCGTAACTTTCGAAACCAGGGGAAGAATGCTCTCCATAAGCCCGACCGTTGCCCTGTCGAAGTGCTCGTGGTAATCCAACAGCCTCTTCTCTCCCCACCTCTTCATCGCAGACAGCAGCCGCACAAGCATCTTCGTATATATGGTCCCTCTCTCGGCCTTCCTGGCATCGTACCCTACATCGGACAACATAATCAGCGACGCGCCGAGGAGATCGAACTCGACCTGCCCTGTCACAACATACTGCTTGAAAAGCACCCAAGCGAAGCAGAGATTATGTATGGATCGGTTAATTCCGAGCATTGACCATGTTTTCCTGATAAGCTCCAGCAACTCGTCGACTTCATCGAGTACTAACGTGTCGTCCTTGAGGTCGAAAACTGATCGAAGGAGGGTCATGTAGATTTCGACGTTTAGGGGGTACCCATCTGCCCAATGGCACACGTCGGTTGTACCCCCGTCGGGGCTCCGCCACGCCAGGGAAATGATGGAGTTGCAGAGGGCTCTCATGGCCTCGGAATTCTTGGCCATGTCGATGGGCTTGGCCTCGGATGCCTCGATGAGTTGCTCAAGCTTGGCGGCGTGTGTATCGGTCGATTTGTCTAAGGGAATCAACGGGTGCCGGAGAAGGCCGATTTGGAGGATTTTGAGCTGGCGTTTCTGCCATTGATGGTACTCTTCCGCGTTGTTGAATTCCCCCGGCTTCAAATGGCGCAACAGCTCCAATGGAAGGATGATCGTCTCCGCCCGCCTTCCCATCTGCATTGCAATCGTTAAGTTTAAACTTTTAAGTGAAATGGTCATTTAATGTAAGTATGTATGGACGTACTTGGCCGACGAGGGTTCTCATGAGAGTCTTGCGTAACCTGCTGTCACTCTGCTCCGTCACCCGCATCTGCTGTCGCATGATCTCTGCCGACGTCATGGGCCGCCGGAGCCGGGATGGCAGCGTTACGCCGAGCCGGGGGCTGCTGCAGCGGGGCGACGAGAGGGTCGCCCCGCTGGAGCTACTCCGGCGCGGGCGCCGGACCATTTTGAGTCCGAGCGCCTTTTTGACGCGGCTGATGACGGCCATCCCGACGCCGGGGGTCTTGGCCGAGGCGAATCCATCCGGGCCGCCTCCGTCGGAGCCGGAGCCCCTGCCATGCAAGCCGCCTGTCGACGTCGTAGTGGAGCGGCAGGCGGTGAAGAACACCTCATAAGCGGCCTCGCGGAAGTCGTCGTGGTCGAGGCCGCTGAGGCTGCCCAAGGGGGAGAGGAGTTCGTCGTCGGGAGACGTGGCGGGGGTGGATTGATCGGCCATCGGACGGCGGCGGGGGGTGGCGGGAAGAGGAGAAGGAACGGACAAGTTGGTCGGAATTTGGGAAAATTCTGGTTTTGGTGATTTGGATCTGTGGAGATTGTCCGTCGATGATGTTGGGGGAAGAGAGGCAACGTTGGTTGGTTGGTTAGAGAGGGAGGGAGTGATGTTTTGTGCGGATTAGCGTGAGTTGGGGTTGGGGGAGGTTAATTGGTGTTGGAATATTTGAAGGGCCTGGGACTTGAGGGCCAGATTGATGTTAGGACACCCATAGATGTTAGGGACGGTGCAGATTCCTCGCGGTTTGACACAAGGCAATCAGCTACACACGATTGTGTTATTTATAAATATGCAGGTATTTGAAAATTGAACTAAAATGAATAAATATTCGAAATTGCGAACCTAATCTGAATCAAAAATTTCGGTTCGATTAATCAAAAATATTTGCAAAATTTACAAATAATTCGAATTGAAATTAAGAAAAAATATATTAAAAAATAATTAAAATTTTAATTAAACAAAAAATATTTGAAAATATTTTAAATATTAAAACTGAAATCGAACTCAAATCGAATATAATTATTAATATAAATTTTAAAATATAATAATATAAATATAAAAATATATTCGGTCGTTCGATTAACTGAACCGAAAAAATATAAAAAATCAAAATTGAACCGAACAAATATTAAATATGCGGTATTTATATTTGAATCAAATTTGCTCAGTTAATCGAAAATTCGGCTCGGTTCTATAGTTCGACGGTTCAATTCGATTTTTTTAACCACTTAGATGGATATGATACCACAATTGAAATTGGATTATCTTGGTTATAGATCTGATAATTAGAAATAATTCCTGTTCAACCCAAGATATTTTCTATAATATAATTTATTTATTGTTATTTCAGTAAGTTTCTTGTAAACCATAAAGACATATATATTTTTCATATATATATATATATATTGTAATTCATTGATAAAAACAGATTATTATTATTATTATTTTAAAGATATGGCACGTTGAATTCAATAACTTAACAGTGCTGAATTTAATTAAGACAATTGATTCAAAAATAAAAAAAGATAAAATAAAAAAATAAAAAATGGATGAACTTGCCCTTGTTCAATCGATGGCTGGTTTCAATAATTAATTTAACATATAAAAAATTAATTTTTCAGCATGATCCAAGACAAAAATTATTGCATTTTTATTTCTAATCTCTTTCTAAAGCATGAATATTTCCTTGCGTTTCTTGCCTCCAAATCTAGTTTAGGAGTTTTTATCAATTTTTTGGAAATTCGATCCTAAAGTTGGAAGCCAACATTTGGTATCACACTATCAAAACTTTTGGCTAATTGCATGGAAAATGGCCTCATAATCAATTTTGATATAGTATAATATATTTAAAATAATACAAATCAAATACTCCCTCCGTTCAAGCTAAAAGTAGTGAAATGACATTTTTGCCCTTACTTTTTTGGTATAAAAGTAATTATGTTATGTAAAGTAGTGGTATTTTTGAAAAAAAATGGGGTATTTAATGAAATTGTTACTTTGTAATTGGACGTTCTAAAATAAAAATATGTATACTTTCTAACTGGACGGAGGGAGTATTATTTTCAAAAGATCCGAGTTCATTAGGTGCCCGTGTCTAAAATTTGAAAATTCTAAAAGTTTTAGTATGTATAATAATTTTTTTAATATTTAAAAAGTAAGATATTTTTCACTCAGTAACTAATATAAAAATATACTATTTTATTTAATAAAATATCACATAAAAAATTATTTAAATTAAATTTTAAATTAAAACTTCAAATAAAATACTAAGGATGTGTTTGTTTGGGGGTTTGGATTTTGAGTTGGGATTTGAATAGTAAAAATTTTGAATTTGAATAGTTGTATGATGTGATATAAATAGGTGTTGATGTGATGTTTTGAATGTAAAATTAATTTTTAGTATAATATAAAAAATGAAAAATAGGTGTTTGATTTTATGTTTTTGGGGAAAAATTTTTGGATGAATAGTAAGATTTTGGTAAAATTCTTCAAACGAACAAACCCTAAGTATATTTCATATAATATTTTTTTATATAAGTTATATACTAAAAAATATAAAATAATAAATAGAAGGGTAAATTATATAACACATCTGTGTTTTACTAAAAATGCACAAAACACTATATGTTTTATTTATTGCATAAAATCCCCTTTATTAATGGAAAGTTTGCATGAAACTTTGTCTAAAACTAATGTTTGGTTCGAAATAAAAACCTAAATTACGTAAGTTTTATAAAAATAAAAAACGTAAAATATCTTAAATAATTTTTTTAATAAAATAAATAACTAAATAATTGATTAATCATTTATTTTTATAATTTTTATAACAATCAGACAATAATTTGTCTCAAAAAATTATAAAACCAAGGATTAATAAATTATTTATTTATTTATTTAATGCACAAAAATTATTTAAGATATTTTGCGCTTTTTATTTTGTATAAAATTTGCGTAATTTAGGTATTTATTTAGAACTAAATATCACTTTTTGAATAAAAAGAGTATTTCGTGCAAACTTTATATTAACGCAAGGATTTCATGCAATAAATAAATTTATGCATTTTTACTAAAATATAAGGGAGTGCTATATAATTTATCCTAAATATAATTTAAAAACACGTAGATACGCACACATTAATATAATTTCAAACAAAATCCAGAGGAGTAACAAATAGAAACACGAAAATCCGAGACACAGATTCTGCAATAACGTTGAAAGATCTAAATTAGTACTACAAACAAACCTCAACAATAAAATAAATAATAACAGAAACCCCACCACCACTTGACATTTCCCTTCAATTCCTTCATTATTACACCTCTGCTTTTTCAACGTTATTATTTTTTCAAATATCCCTCCCTCCCTCCATCCTAGAGAGAGAGAGAGAGGAGAGAGAAATAGAGAAACATTAATCGAAAACGAAGCACAGACAAGATCAGATCCAAATGGGGTGCTGTTTTCTTACATGTCTTGGAATCGAAAGCACCACCAAAAATCCCAAGAGAAGAACAAGAACAAGAAGAAGCAGCCCCCAAGAACAACCTCAAGATGCTGATGCAGTAAGATTAATCTATTCTATTTTACATATGCTGTCTTCTTTCTTCCCTTCATCTTTTAATTCATGTTTTATTTATTTATTTACATGTTTCTGAAATTCCAGAGCCCAGCTGGAGAATACGTGCCTCTACGCATCCATGGCGGGCCTCCTAAGATCGACAATTCAGATGACGAGCTCAGGTAATTAACTAATTAGTTACTCAAATAATTAGTTATTACAGTCAATGTGCGTGTTTAATTACCAAACATGTCTTGAATTCAATTCTTTTTGTAGAGAGGAACAGTCGCAGAAAGGGGCATTGCCATTGCCATTGCCATTGCCATTGCTGTCCAAGATCAAGAAGAAAGTCAGGTTCAATTTGGATGCCCACAATTGTTATTATTACCAACAAATTGTTGAGAACGAGGAAGAGGAAGAAGAAGACAAGACAACATGGGAACCCCATCCAGCTAGCATTGCCACTTTGTCGGAATCAAGCACATGGTCGCAAGCAGCCAATCGATACCAAAACTGTCGAGAAAACTACGAGGAAGAAGAAGAAGAAGAAGAAGACGATGATGATGATGAGTTAAATTTTGATCGTAGTGATGGAGAGGAAGACAGCAACAACGACGATATCGAAGATGATGATGATATTCCTACCAAAGCAAATTTGAATCCAACTAAATCAGACATGTTCAATGTTCTTACTCCTGTCCAAAATCTGGCGCAATGGAAATCAGTTAAAAGCAAAGGGCGATTGGCAAAGAATTATTCAGAAGAGTTGCGAGGACAGGACATATCTTCGAGCAAGAATCTGTCGCAGCCTATTGCGGTTGATCTCAGTCTCTCGAATTGGTTGGGATCTGTCGGGACATAGACAATCGATAATCTTTGGCGATTTTATTGCATCATCCGAATAATGTGCTTGCAAGAATCTTACTTACATCATCAGTGTGTGTGTTTGGGATTTGAGTTGTTCCATCTGTTTGTAGTTGTTGTTCTATCAAGAAAGAACCAACGGTTGTCATATTCAATACTTATGCATCATTAGCCACATTTGGACATGATTATCGACAAAAATTCTTATACCGACAACATCGAAAAACAGCGTACAAAACTCTGATATGGCTTACGGCGTGTCTTAAGATTTACAATAAGAGTTAAATTTTGATCGAATTTTGGAATTAAGGGTGGATCGGAGCGGAGGCTAAGAAGGATTGAAAAAAAATTGAATATGAAGACACAAACAAATAGAACATGTGGAGTAGGGTGTCAATTCCTGTTTTCGACTCGTTTTCGTGTCGGATTGAGCTATAGGAGTAATAAAAAATAACTGTCAATCCGAACCCGAAATTTGACCTGAAGAACACAACATGAATTCTTTCGGTCGGGTTCAGGTTGACCTGAATTAGTTTCAGGTCACCCGAAACTCGAACAAATTCGACATCAAACAGACCCGAACTTAAAAATAAATTAAATCAACCTAAAAAAAAATTCATTTTTATTTTTATTTTTTATATTATTTTACATTTCAAATAATACAAAATAATATAAATATTACTCCCTCCGTCCCAAATACCATGTCCACGTTGCCGTTTCTGTCCGTTCCCACGTACCGTGTCATTTTTTGTTTTTGAAAATGATTACACAGATCTCATTTTAAATTTTTTATTTTTTTTAAATTTTAATTAAACTAATTAGCTATCTTAATCTTAATTTATAATTATTTATATTATAGGATAATTAATTTCACTAATTCATTCTTAATTATTTACTAATTACACCCCTCCTAAAATACCGTGTCTACAATGTAGCAGATACGGTATCTGGGGACGGAGGGAGTATAAAATAATTATAATAAATAATTTCAAGTCAACCCGAAACACGAAATCCAACCTGACTTTTATATTTAGGGTTATCAGGTCAACTCGAAACATGACCCAAACACGACATAAACTTTTTTTTTGTTTTGGATTCAGGTCGATCCGATTTTTTGCAAATCCGAAATACCCAAACCTGAACCTGAAAATTTTCAGATTGAACGTGTTCGATTTTTCAGGTCGAATTTGATTTTGACACCTCTAACATGGAGACAAAATACAAACACACAACAAACATTAAATTATGGTTTCAATTCCTATATTCCTATTTTCTTAGTGTCTCTATTCCATCCAATAAAAAAAGTTATTTATAAGTTATTAAAAAAAAAAGCCACTTATAATAAAAAATAATAATACTATTTATTTAGGGTGTGTTTGTTTGGGGGTTTGGATTTTGAGTTGGGATTTGAATAGTAAAAATTTTGAATTTGAATAGTTGTATGATGTGATATAAATAGGTGTTGATGTGATGTTTTGAATGTAAAATTGATTTTTAGTATAATATAAAAAATAAAAAATAAATATTTGGTTTAATATTTTTTGGGAAAAAAATGGGATGAATAATAAAAATTTAATTCAATCCCCCAAACAAATTCACTAAAATCATCAGTTATTTAATCAATTCATTTAAATGACTGTTATACCTAATATTTTGTTGATATACAATTGTAGAAGTTTAAATAGAATATATCTTTTTGAAAAAAATATACATAACATACAAAAATATTTTTTTTTTTCAAAATTTTAAAATAATTGTAGAATCGTATAACATTATTTTTTCTTATATCTTTTAAAAATTTGTAGGACACATACGTTACAAATGTTATACTTTATTATTTAATTAAGAAAGAAAACATCGTTAAAACCAAGTTAAATTATATAATTAATCATTGTATACTCCAAAGAAAATACTATTACATGATAAAAAAAAATGAAAAACAAATAGGAAAATAATTCGAATACAAAAATTCCAAATATATTATTGATCCCGCATTTGTATACTATGAATCAAATATGAAATTAAAAAAGAAATCAAAATGTTATTATAAAAAATAAAACTGTCATTTAAAATGACATGACCTTCACTATCAAGTGATTTGAATGTTGATCCGTTTGAACATAAATATTTATATAAAAAATAGTCAATATAATAAAAGTCACTATGATGATATATATTAAGTAAATTTAATCGGATATTGTAGTTCGTCGAATTGTTGCATTTAAGCTTTGTGTGGATAATTTTTTCTTATTTCTAAAAGTTTTTTTCTAGTATACTTTTAAATCATTTTTTCTAAAACAGCTTTTATTTTAGCTATTACTTCAGTAACCTTTACCCCTATTTCCTCGTCTGTAGGTGAATTTTTTTTTATTTTCTTTTCATTTTTGTAGGCTAGAATTATAACAATTTCTTCTTTTCTTCTTCTTCTTCTTCTTCTTTTCTTTTTTTTTTGGTTTACATTGCAATTTTTCATTAACTATTTCATACATTTCTTTGAGACCATCTCTTACCATTTCGTATGTTTTTTTTGTTGCTGCTTTTGTAACAAGTTGATTGGATATATTATATAAATTCGTATACCAAATTTTTTGTAACACTTTTGAATCATCTTGAAATGTCATTATATTATAAAAATCTCCAACCTTCACTTCTCTTGTCCATCTTCTCAATATATGAATTTGGAATTTTAATTACATTATATATAATAAAAACCTTCAAAACATGAAAATACAATATTCCACAAATTTAAATATTTTACAACTACAATGTATCGTGCTATTCAAAGAGTCATAGTCAACAACATTATATTTTGATTTTTCAAAAGATGTAATATGATAAATTGAAACACCTTCAGTTACACTAAAAACATAAATGCTACAATTAAGTTTTGCACAATTCATTTCGAAACAATTTAAATACTTTAGGAGTATAAATACTTGCGGCATTTAACAATTGAGTAGGAAAAGATAATGTATAAATACTTGTATTTGCTTTAAAATCAGCTTTCAACTCATCATAACGATGATTATCAATCAAAATTTGAAAATATTCAAAAAATTGACGTAAGTTATTCTTGTAATCGACGTACCTTTTAATAATGTTGTTCATACTTTCATTTTTTTGTGTCGTAATGATGTTAGTATAAAAATATTGACAAACATAAACCAATGCCCATTTTTTTTCTTTTTTTATTGAATAATCTTTTTAAACAATCATTATTTTGAAGATTATATTTCTCAAGCGGGTTATTCCATTCAATAAAAAAAATTATCATCTTTTTTTTTTCAAAATCATACACACTTACTAAAATCATGTGCAAAATTTTTAAATTTATAAAAAATTCCACCTATCGTTAAACGTTCTGCTGACCGACCTAAAATGGCAAGACGGCGTGACCGTATGAGCTTATGGAGAAAGGATACACAAGGAGACAAAAATGTGATAACAATAGTTTGTCGAAATAGAAAAGACGAATAACTTGTAAATTTTGTGGTCTTATTGGTATGTACTTATGGGGTGTCAACAAAGAAAAACTCAGTTGTATAAATCAATTCCACTGCCACAACGATGTAGGCTACTAAAGGGTTATCTCAAATAAATGATATTCTTGCACAAAAGCTTCCATCGGGTGAACATGAGGAGCCGCAAACAGTACAAGCTCCCATAACAAAATTAACGGTATGAATTTGCAGTAATTATGTTTGCATATAAAATATTCTTGAATAATCTAAATTTCTATGCAATAGGTGAGAAATAGAACTCTGACCCGAAGAAATATGCAAATTTGAATCATATTGGAACGTCATCTGGGAGATGACAAAAACACATGGATTTTGAAGATTTCTTTGCATATATTATCATGTTTTGATAGACTGTAATGCTTGGACATGTTTTGAGATTTCTTAACATGGATGATATTTTGTTTGTAATGATATTTTGATAGACCAAATTTTAATTCCTCTTGGCCTTTTACCTTTTTTGGGTGACGACAACGACGAATTAACCACCGGAATGATTTATGTTGCTTTGGAGATATATATTATTTGATATTTTGTTGCTTTGCATTGATATTTTGAGCAAAATAATTTTGTTTTTGTTTTTATTTTTAATGTAGAAGAATGATGCTTGAAGGGAAGGGTAAGGCTAAGAGAGGCCAAACAATGCAAGTTATTCGGTAGCTATTCCAGAGTTTGAGCCAGATGATGATGTTTCAAATTTTAGTGAATTAGAATATGTTGAACGATATGAAAGATATAGGAGTAGATCATTCTCAAAGAGTAAATATATCGGTTGGGGTGTTTTGTCTTTTTTGGGGATGAATGAGGAGGTAGAGGCTTTAGTTTCTGTAAGGACGTGGGCTTATTTTTCTTAGGATTGTAGAGTTGAGTTATAAAAATTTAATGTTGGAGTTCATGTCAACTCTTGATTATGGCTCGGTGAACTATAATTACGAAAAACCCAAGACTTTGACGTTTAGGCTATTGGGAAAGATATTTTCGATATCATTGGCTGACTTTTCAATGATAATGGGTTTATATGATCGGAAATTTATGAAATTGGATGACTTTCAAGGCTTGCCTATTCTTATTCCTATTAAATATGCCGTGTACTAGTCCCGAATTGGTACTGAAGCAGCTTACAGCTCTGCACGTTTTAAGACACCGACTCTACAGTATCCGCCACTACGGTATATACATTATATTTTAGCAGCCCACTCACTTTACAGTCCTGGCGAGAGCACCAGGATAGTCTCGAATATTGATTTATGCTATCTTTGAAGTATACTAGAATGTTAGCCTATAAATTTGAGTTTTATGCTTGCTCGATTTATGATACATCAAGTCGATGATAGCGGTATGGGGAAACTTTCTCTTGGTTCGTATGCTACTCGTCTGGAAAAGGGCCTTGGGATTTTAGATGAAGAGATTGAGGATCCTATATGTGTCATGCAACCTTATGTTTTTTGGAGGCTGCAGATGATGGGTATAGTGAGGAAGGTGACGAAGGGATGAGTAGATGAAAACATATTGATTTATAGGGCTGATGGACCAATGGATGAGGATGGTTTGCTTTCCGGTGATCAGGGCGCGCCAGAGGATGATTAACCCCGCTGCATGGTTTAGGATACCATGCCTATTGACAGATCAACTATTGATGGCTAACGTATGGATAGGTATCGCCATATGAACAATATGCAGATGGAAATGCATTGCCAGATGGACGGTGTACGGTTGAAGATGAGATCTTCATTTTTTGCATATTTTTTAGCATCTTTCTCCTATTCTACCAAACGATGACGCTTCTCATGCATCTACACCGGGACATGACGACATCACAATTGATACTGATATTTTATTTGCAGATCATCAAAGCAGAAACGATGATGAGTAACTTTGTGTTTTTTGTTTTTTTTTTACGTATGTAATGTTGTTTTTAAGTATGTACTATTTCTTCACTTAATTTAAAATTTAAAAGTTTGTTGTTTAAATTATTTTTACTAATTTTAGTTCAAACTTTTCAAATTTGTACTATTTAATATTTAATTATGTTATTTTATTTTTATTTTTTTTCAAATTCAGTATACAATATTTTCAAATATAGACATGTTGGATTATACACTGTTGTATTAATTCTATGTCATCCGTCACATCGACTCCGTGAAGTCCAAGTCATTATTTTTCATTGATTTAATTATAATAGAACTAAAATTAATTGAAATTGGTTCTATTAAGACCAAAATTAATTAATTTTGATTATATTGAAACCAAAATTAAAATACTACATTCAATAATTCGTTTTAATTAAAAATATTTTACTCCAAACTACTTAAAATTATTCTCAAAATACACAATTAATTTATTCTGATAATTTAAAATATAATACTAAAATTACCAAAATTTATAAATATTTATATTCATAAAATATTCGCGCACACGCGGTATGTATAGCAACCACTAATTTTCTTATTTAATTTTCTGAAAGCAAAAAAAAAACCAATGGTACGAATAAAACGAAAGAACAAAACAAAATTGCGCAATATTTTGTTTGCTGAAATTGAACGGCTAAGATTGCAAGAAAAATACACGTGTCGTAATCTGGAAACAGGTATTAGGAAAAGAACCAGTACCGCGGAAGCTACAGATCCCCCAATGGCCACCAGCCATTCGATGAATATCCTCAACACAATTCCAACCATAAAAATGGAAAAATTGAAAATAATCTCCAACACAGATTCCAAATCCAATACGAAGAAGAAAGAAATCGAAGGAATTAGTATACCCGAGAGAGGCAGCTAAAATCGAAGACTACGGCGTGCGCGTAATGGCAGCTGTCGCTTCAGTTTCTGCGTCTGCTTTTCTCGGCAGCCGGTGCGGCGAAGATCACGGCGTGCTGCAGACGCCGCCGGCGAGGGCGGTGAGGGTGGCGCGGCGGCCGGTCAGGTCGCTTCCGATGATGGGGAACATCAACGAAGGGAAGGGGGTTTTCGCCCCCCTCGTGGTCATCACGCGCAACATTGTTGGGAAGAAGAGGTTCAATCAGATTCGAGGGAAAGCCATCGCTCTTCACTCACAGGTAACTGACTAATTATATATATATATATATATATATTTTGGTGTTGTGCTGAACTTAGTTCTAATTGATTAGTTAATTTAATTATAAAGTTTTATTGAATGGAAGTTTTGATTTAGGGTATTAATTTTACTGTTAAAATTAATTTTAGTAATAATGATTCATTAATTATAAAATTTGAAAGATTATGAGAGGGATTTGTTCACCTAAACTGCAATATTTCTCACACAAATTCCTATATACTCCATAATATACTCCCTCAGTAACAAGTACATATTTACTTTTGTTAAGGAGTTTAAAAAATAATAATATTTTAATTACAGTGAGTAGATAAAAACAGTGTAATGATATTTTTGTTATTATTTTTTGGTATAAAAGTAATGATTTGATGTAAAGTAAATATATTTGTGAAAAAAAGTGAGGTATTTAATAAAATAATTACTTTGTAATTAAACGTCCAAAAATAAAAATATGTATACTTTCTAAATGGACGGAGGAAACATTATATTTGGAAAATTGCAAAAATTACCCATTATGTATCTCAAATTATTATTTTTAGACATTTTTTTTTTTCGGTTTCGCAAAGTAGGACAATAAGTGTTCCGAAAACTTTATTTATGTCCTCCGGCGTGGGAAAACGTCACGTGCCGGGCACGTGCGCAGACGTGGAATCTCTGTTGCCGACGTGTACATAGCCGGCGCAGACGTGTACCATAATGTGTCATTTTTCCAGTGGCTGACGTGACATTTGTTTAAAAAATAAAATAAAATAAATTAAAATTTACATTTTTTTTTAAATTGCAAATAACATATTTGTAATGTTTTTAAATTTGTGTTATTTGCAATTTGGTTCAATTGGACCAAATTGCAAATATGTTATTTGCATTTTGGTCCAATCGGGCCAAATTAGAATTAAAAAAAGTAATTTTAATTTAATTCTTTTTTTTTTTTAACAAATGCCACGTCAGCCACCGGAAAAATAACACGTCGTGGTACATGTCTGCGTCGGCCATGTACACGTCGGCAACGGCGATTCCACGTATGCGTACGTGTTAGGCACGTGACGTTTTCTGGTGCCGGAGGATATAAAAAAAGTCTTCAGAACACTTACTGTCCTACTTTGCGAAACCAGAAAAAAAATGTCTAAAAATAATAATTTGAGATACATAATAGGTAATTTTTGCAATTTTTCATATTATATATATATTGTCACTAAAAATTAATATTTAAGAAAAAATAGTATTTTTTATATTGTTACTTAAGAAAAATATTATTATTGGAAACGATGATGTAGTCTAAAGACAAGTTTTCAACTCTTTAACCTTTGTAAGTATCCACAACTTATCATTTAAGTCATAGCTTTGGCTAGTCCAGCAAAAAAAAAAAAAAAAAAAAATTATTATTATTTGTACTTTACATAGAAGATATTTTAAATTAAAACACTTGACAAACACAATAGTTGTTAGAATATATATGTATTCCAATGATAATATTTGTTGGATTTGGGTTTTTGTTGTTTGTACGATGGTTTAGTTGTAGTGTTTAATTTGATATGAAATCACAATAGTTGAATAATACAAAATTTAAAATAGTTGTTATGAACAATATTTAAACATACAAAAATAATAATAATAATAATAATAATAATAATAAAAATTCAATAGTCGAATTTAAATATATAACTTGGTAACTTATTGTTTTTCGGTCTCACTTTTGATTAAGGTGATCAATGAATTTTGTAAGTCGATAGGAGCGGATGCCAAGCAACGACAAGGGCTCATTCGGCTAGCGAAAAAGAATGGCGAGAGGCTCGGATTTCTTGCTTGATAATGAAATACATAGCTTGTGGCCACATTAACGACTTTATTATTCGATGATTTTGTTGCTTTAATGTGTATGTATACATGTAGATGTTTCAAGTTGTGCTAAATGACACTCGGAAGTGTTACGACAGATGTGTTTGTTTCGGTTTGAGGTGTCCCATTAGTTCATACAAGTAGCTAATACTAAATGCAGTGTAAACTAGAAGATAAAACATTCAAAAGTAATCGGTAATGAAATTATATTCCAACTATATCGTATTTAATTAAGGATTATATGCGACAAATTATGTTTATCGAATAATCGGCACATTTTTTTTTAAGTCTGATTTGAGTTTGAAAGTTTTGAGCTTTTTACTTGTTTGATTGACTTTTTGTAACAACAAAAAATGTATGTATATATATATATATTTCTTTTCTTATAAAATATTATATCACAATAATATTTATATAAATTAATATTCTATTTTAAAAAAATTCAAACCACAATCAAAACTGACAAAACACACCAATAGTAAACTACAAATAAAATGCATGTTTGGGTTATAATATGTGGTTTCAAATATTTAGTCACCAAATATTACTTCTAACAAAAAAATAATAATAAAAAAATAAAAAAAATAGAAATATCACATCAAATTTTAATTTTATCTTATAATATTACATTAAATATAAAACCTTATATTGTTCTCAATTTTTAAAAAAATTATAATTATTATACCAAATTAGACAGATAGAAGCCTTGTATGCTCAATTTAATTTAAAATTTACATTTGAAACATTTCAATCTACACCTATCTATTAAAGACATGTTTATGTATACTATAAGATTATTTATGCTTCGAGCCCTTAGAATTATTATTTTTATTTTTTAATTATTATATAAACTCTAAATTTTTTTATAAAAAGCATATTAATTTTATATAAATGATCACATCTAATAATTATTTTACTTACAAATTTAAAGCCTAAAAATAAAGAAAATGAACAAACTCCTTAATAATTATGTTATAAATTTATAACCATGGATAGGCTTGTTTGTCAATTAACTCTTTTTCAGGCTGGATCCGATCTAAATTCGGCATAATTTTCCTGGATGGAGAACCCTTTATGGATCCGAGCTCCGTATTTAGACTCGAATCCATCTTATATAGTTCTGGATCCAATATTTCTAGTTTCGACTCGAAATCGACTCAGATACGGATGTTTATATATAAAATTATTTATTAATATATTTATATAATTATATATTCAATTATAATTTAGTATATCTCTTTGACATTATAATTTTATTGTTAATTAAATATATATATTTTTTTATATTTCAATTTAAAATGCATGTTAATTAAAATCTAATTGTCAAATTTTTGCAAATATTGTATGAATTTATACACTAACTTGTGTTGAGATATTTTAGATATTCAGATTTAGGCTGTGTTCGTTTGACGGTTTCTTATAAATTTCACTGTTAAATTACTGTACAAAATTCGAATTACAAATCCTGGCCCTATAACCTACCCACGTTCGTAAACCGTAGGCTTCTTATCGCACGTCCCTGTAAGCAGAATTTGTCGGCAGAATCGGCTGTGTACTCACCTCTCCTTTGATTTGATTGACGGACTGGACGGTAGGTGACGGTAGGTGAGGCAATAAGTAATCACCATTCTTATTACGAGTTGGATTTCGATTTCGAATCGGTGGTGTCCTCAACACCGGCGTCTCGGTGGGGAAGAAGAGGTCTTCGGTAGATCAAGGTGCGACGGAAACAGCCAGACGACCCAGAGGTGAGTATATCTAGACACTGTCTCCCCAATTTTGCGTGATTTCGGTTCTACTCTGCAATTTTTTCCATAAATCGCTTGAAATTAGTTCGAATGTAGATGAATTTCATCAATATTGCGTGAAGTTTGTTTGAGTTTCGTGATTTCTGTTCAATTTTGGGGTTCCTTGTGTACCTTCCGGAGCCGATTTTCCGGCGAGAGTCGTTCTGGCACTACATGTAGTTCCAGTGGTCTTTGTTAACCGGTCAAAATGATTGCGTTCTTCGCTAACTGAGACGATTCCCCTGTTCTTTATTAAAGTGGAAAGCTCGTAAATACTGCACTTACAAGCTACGCGCGGGGGGTGGGGGGGAGTGTCGATTTGTTCAGGTCTTACACTGACTCAATCGAAACTAGGTCATAACTCGTCAATGTTATGTCCCTCGTTTTACTTTGCTGGAAATAAGGATGTTTGTCCGAAAGGAATGGGATGAGGTTTCTTCGATGTTATTATGTAATGAACGGTGTCTACTTTTACCAATATTAGGACCACTGTGTTTGGGGGATGGGAGTGTCGACTTGTTCAGGTCTTACACGGCCTCCATCGATAGTAGGTCATAACTCGCCAATATTGCGTCCCTCGCTTGACTTTGCCGGAAATAAGGAAGTTTGTCCGAAAGGAATGGGATGAGGTTTCTTCGATGTTATTATCTAATGAACGGTGCCTACTTTTACCAATATTAGGACCACTGTCTTTGGGGGATGGGGGTATGTGCTTAACAATAATACCCGCCGGAATAGTTGGCCGTTTCCGTTTTAGAGGGGGCCAATGTATGCTACATTTCAAGTTTGGCCAAGTTGTGGAAGGAAGAAATAATGTGGTCCAAGTGGCTTTAATTTCATCTCAGTCACACATAGCGAAGCGAGTTTCCACTCCTTAAGCAATGAGTTGTACGATTAGAAGTTCCATTTACGTCCTACAACATATTTGTATTGCCTAATGGGTTGGGAGATTGTATCTGTCCTTTGTTAGTTTACGTCCTAATCCCCAGACTTAGTTTTGAGGAAAGTCTATTTTAATCGGAAATGTGCCTAGTAAACATTACGTTACGCAGTATGCCTTGTTTTACTACTTAGGTACTCAATAGTTGCGATAGATTCTTGTTGATGAACTTGTTGTGTTACCTACAAGCCAAAAAGTAACGTGGTTGGTCGATTACTAAAATAATATATGCATTGAAGTGTTATTGCCTGTAATCCGTCAAGGCATACCCGACTACCATTAGAACATTCACTTGTCTACACTAAAGACTGCCCACACCCTATAACGCTTATACAGTGACAAACTGGAGGGTGACGTTCCTGACGCGCAAAGTTCAACCGGGAGCTGCGACCAACCCCACAAACGGGGGGTAAAACGCAAGGTTAGTGCGCATGGCTTTTAGTTACATGAGAAAGAGTACTTTCCATAGTTCCTGCGATCTAGCTGGCATAGAAGTATTATTGGTAAATCCGATCTTGTGCGTAGGCAATGGCACGCGGAAGACGCGCAACGGAGGATCCTCCTGCACCGCAGGCTAATTGGACGTTGGCACAAGAGGAGTGTTTCCTCCACCTAGTGTGGTTGCAATGGCAACTGGAGGAGTATCAAGGAACGAGCTTCACAAAACCGGTGTGGGAAGATATAACCGCAAAGTTTAATGCGGAGATGAATGCGCATTACAGGCTAAACAGCTTCAGACAAAGCTAAAGCGTACGAAGAAAGGGTATTTGGAACTTCAATCGTTGGTGGTTAATACAACGGGACTCGGATGGGATCCGGAGTCACGTTTGATAGTAGCAGACGAGGAGCGAAAAGCGGATTGGGCTGTGGTACATCATTTAGATGTTTTGGTGACCTCTTATACCGTTATCCATATAGATTACGATTTGTTGTTGACCAGGTTTAACATATCTTAGGCCCATAAAGACTTTGCGCATCTCTTAACTAAACCGTTCGCCCACTTGGACTATTGTCACGATATGTTCGGTCCAACCGGGGAGGGGGCACGCAGACCTTTATCTTCTGGTTGGGATAGTGCATTCAACGGACCAGGTGGCAGAGCAAGTGCTGATCCCATTACAGAGGACGGAGCCACAGGCACCGAAACAGGGGTCGAAGGGACGGGCGGAACGAATACCGGGACGGGTCAGACAAGGCCCTCTGAGGCCGGGCCAAGTGTTAGGAGGGTTCGACGGAGGAGAGCATCGGGGCACGCAGAGGAGGTGCGTGCTGTGGTTCGAGAGGAATTGAGCGATATCCTTGGGCGCAACAACGCCGAAAGGGAAGCGGAGAAAGCCAGGAATATGGAGCTTGTTGGGGAGGTTAGCGCGGCCCTCCTTGCTGTGCCCGGATTGGAGCCCCGTGTTAGGAGGAAGGCAAACGACATGTTTCTCCTTCCACACGTCCGGGACTACTGGTTGTCCTTGGACGCAGAGGCTCGGATTAAGTGGATCGATGCCTTCGTTGCTGTGGATTGATAAGGAGAGGCAACGGCGACCATATTATGTAGTAGAGATTTGTCGTATTACTTTGGACTACCTTTGTGATGTGTTGAAGTGTCTACGTCTCATCCCTGTGTCTCTTCCCTTAAGTAGTAGTACTTATGATCCTTTATTTTCGGTGAAGTTTCCACTTCTCACCTTAGGATCGTCTGCTTGGTGTCGTGACATTGTTCGCACTGCTTGTCGACTGAGTCGACCTGTAACGTAGAATTCGGTTTCGTACATGTTAATTTTAATGGCGTGTTTCCGGAAGACTGATTGTTTCGTCATCATCTCACCTTGCAATGTCGCTGTAATTTAATTTGCGTCGAACGCAGGAAGTACATGGAGGGCACTAACCGACAACGTAATCTTCTTCGTCTGGCTCGTCGGTTCACAGAAGAAAATGAGAATGAGAGTGACAGGAAAGACACTTTGTTGATGGCTATGGCAACTACTGCCGCCGTGTCGTTAGCCTCACGTTGTTCGATGCGTCGGTGCTACGACTCCGCACTCGGGGGAGAGAAATTCACTCACGAGCTGATGCACGGTCACCCAGCTAGGATTAAAAATTTATTGCGGGTATCATCTGATACATTTCATGATCTTTGCGCCACCTTGGTCGAAAAAGGCCTATTGGATTGCCACCATAGGCAACGGATAAAAGTTCATGAGCGCGTAGCAATATTTTTGCACACAGTGGCTCATTCGAACAGGCAACGTTCAACTGCGGAGCGTTTCCAGCACTCGACATCGACCGTGTGCTACCACGTTAACGAGGTGGCCAAAGCGCTTGTTCGCCTGGCACCGCACGTCATCCGCCCAGGTGACATGTCCAACCCGGCCACGAGGATACGTGACTCCCCAA